ATATTGTTCCCGCATTTAAAATGCTCATAAATTCAAAGACATTTTACAGATTGAAAAAATGTTCACGATTTCTAAAGAATGTGGACAATTTTGTACAATGCTTGTGTATTTGGAAAATGTTCATGATTTTAAAAAGTTCTCACAAAGAAAAAATATCCGATTTTTTTTTACAAATTTCACAATTTAAAATAAAAAAATATTTATTTCAAAAAAATATCACGAAACCCAAATAGTTCATCAATTTGAAAAAAAGTGCGTGATTTTCAACCAAGTTCACAAATAAAAAAACATTTTTGGGTTTGGAAAAATTTCATGAATTCCAAAAATTTCACAAGTTTGAAAAAAGTTCACGGATTAGAAAAAAGAAAAAGTAAAATCATAAAAGGAAATGAAAAAGGAAAGAACATAAAAGCAAAAGAAAAACAAAAAAACATAAATAAATAAAACCAGAAGAAAAAGGGAAAAGGAAAAAACAATAAATCAAAAGAAAAACTAAAAAAGAATAAAAGAAAGAAAAACAAAAATCTGGTGGGGAGAAAAACCCGAATTGGATCGGCCCATAAAAGAGGTGAGCGACCGGCAGGTATATGCGCTAGGTCGCTACCAAGTGACCTATGTGCCAAATAGGAAGCACACCTATTAAATAGTACCACCTCGCCTTCTTAACAAGAGCAAGCTAAAAAGTATGGTATATTGATGGCTTTTCTTCAACAACAGGAACGTTCTTTCAAATCTGGACAGCTAGGGAAAGGCAGGAAGAGGAGGAGGCGACATTTCTGTGTTGTGTTTATCCAGTGTAAATATGTATCGGTTTCGATGATGTAGCAGTTCAGTTTGTTTCACGCCCTCCCTGGGTACTGGACATGGAAATAGGCATGTACCTGGAGACGGTAATCTAGTGTAGCACAGGAAGCGATTTAGTTGTCTCTTTTTTTTGTCACTTTATTTATAAAGCGGGGTGAAAGTCTATTTCGGGAGTTCTCTTTTTTTTTTGGTTGATTTCTCCTTGTAAGCAGTGTTAACTGTGAGTGTCTGAACCGAACATGATCTTGTTCCTCACGTAGTTTTTTCCAAAATTAATGGGAAGACATCCTCCTACATTAAAATCAATTATTGGTGATATACTGTTCAATGCCACTTGAGTGCATCATAACTTCACTTTTAGAAGTGACAAGCTTTCACACGGTTTTTTGTCTGTCTCTAAACTAACTCTATATCATGATTCATGCTCATGTTTCAAGAGAACCTCTGTTTGTGGTAGGAACCGGATCCCTACTAAGGCGTGGTCTCAGGTTGTAGGGGTGGAAGGAGGGATGGCGTGGAAGAAGCCGTGGTCGCCGGCGCCGTGGTCGCCGGCGCCGGGGCGCCGTCGTTGCGTGCGTGCGCGCGCAAGAGAGAGAGAGAGAGAGAGAGAGAGAGAGAGAGAGAGAGAGGCAGCAGCTAGGGTTAGGTCTCCCGGCTCTCTAAGGAAGCCGAGCAAATATGATTGCTTCTTACTTAATCCCAAAACGGGTCCTTACACGAGTTTATATAATCCTCCTAATAAGATAATTGGGCTAAGCCCCTAAAAACGATAAGATAAACTAGGCCACAACTAACTGGGCTAAGCCCCTAATATGCCGGTCATAACATCTCTCCCCGCCTGCACAAATAGCTCGTCCTCGAGCTGGAAGGTGAGGAAGATCAATGGTCGCCAAACACCTCCGTGTCAACTGGGGCGGGCTGGTCGCCAAACCCGGCAGCGATGGGGTCCTCCTCAATGTAGTCTGCGGCCTCCAAGAAGAGTCGTGGGCAGACGTGGCCCTGTACGTAGGGCTCGTCGCGGTTGAAGCACAACCCTTGGCAGCGACGCTCGAGTTGCTCAGCCGGGGTGAGCCGGCGGAACGGCCGTGCCGCAGCCCCGGTGTGGGGCGCCGCGGAAGTCTGGGCAGGCCGACCCTGTGCGGGAACTTCCGGCCAGGGTGGTGGCCCATCGGCCCGGGGCGGTGGCGCCTGCTGGATGGCAACCGCGCGACGCTCGAACACGTGGGCGTAGTACATGGACGTCTAGAGGTCCTGTGGCCCGCACATCTCCACGTCCACGCTGATGTGGTCCGGTAGACCGTCGACGAAGAGTTCAGCCCACTGACAAGCCGAAACGCCTGGGGCGTGGCACGCCAGTGCCTGGAAGCGGTCGGCGAAGTCTTGCACCGAGGTGAGGAACGAAAGATGCCCAAGCTCCGCCAGACGGCTCCCGCATATAGGCGGACCGGAGCGCAAGAGGCACATATCGCAGAAACGCTCCCATGGCGGCGTGCCGCCCTTGTCCTGCTTGAGGGCGTAATACCACATCTTGGCGGCGCCGTGTGGATGATAGGAGGCGGTCCAGGTGCGGTCGGACGCGAGCGTGCGCTGCCCCCTGAAAAACTGGTCGCGTTGGTTGAGCCAATTCAGGGGGTCGATGGTGCCGTCGTAGGTCGCGAACTCCAGCTTGGAGAATCTCGGCGGCGTTTGGACATGGACGACGGGCGGGTGCGCCTCGTCAGCACGGAGCAGCGAGAATGACAGGGCCCGCCGATGCTGGCGAAGGGCTCGGCAGAGACGGAGGTCACGCCAAACTGCATGGCCGTGTGCGTCGCTGGCGGGGCCAGCACGTGCGGCCTGACAGAGGCTATCGTGTAGACCGGCTCAAGAGACCCAGCGAGCCCAGCCAATAACGGAGACGGCAACGGGCGAAACCGGACCTGGTGGATAGGCATCCCCAAGGCCGTCATCGGGATGCCCAGGGCCGCGGTCGCCGCCGGCGGCAGCTACAGCTGTTGCCCTTGCTGCATGGTGGAGGCGCCGGGATTCATCGCTGGTGGCAGCTGCTACGGCAGGTGCTGCATGGCGGCGGCGACGGGGGTCGCCGAGGATGGCGGCTGCCACGGCGGCGGGGCGGTGGCGAAGAGCACAGGTGGCAGCGGCCCATAGGATCTCATGAGGAACGTGTAGATGTCCGTGACCGCCTGGGTAAGATCTCGGATGGCAGCCATCATCTCCTCCGGGGTGAAGACGACGGGGACGGGTTCGGAGGAGGTGACCGGCACCGGCAAGAGCGGGGCGCTGGCCGTGGCGGCCATCGGGACGGTCGTCGCGGTCGGCAGCGGGAGGGTCGGGGTGGGCGGCGGCGAGGACATGATCGCACCGAAGCTATCTGATACCAAATTGATAGGAACTGGGGATCCCTACCAGGGCGTGGTTTCAGGTTGTAGGGGTGAAAGAAAGGATGGCGTGGAGGAAGGCGTGGTCGCCGTCTTTGCGTGCGCGCGCGAGAGAGATAGAGATAGAGATAGATAGATAGATAGATAAATAGATAGATAGATAGATAGAGAGCAGGGGCGGCGGCTAGGGTTAGGTCTCCGAGGGAGCCGAGCAAATATGATTGCTTCTTTCTTAATCTCAAAACGGGTCCTTACACGAGTTTATATAATCCTCTTAATAAGATAATTGGGTTAAGTCCCTAATAACGATAAGATAAATTGGGCCACAACTAATTGGGCTAAGCCCCTAATATGCCGGTCATAACAGTTTGCCACCACGCAAGTTAAATTTGCTATTGCATTTGGTCATCTCATGTACCAATCACAAGATGTATCAGGCAAGACCTATCACTCAGATTAATATGTAAGAACCAACAGCTTGTGCGTCCAGTCCTCTAATTCTGACTAGGTTCACATTATTACACAGTTCTTTGTTCTTTGATAGACGACATTCTATTTCTTGTAGATGTAAAGTCTCGTGTATCGACACTGCCCAAACATCATTTACACATTAACCTTCTTTAGTCTAACACTTTCAGTACATCCAATGGTATGATGGTTTAAATACACCTGAGTATATATTATGGAATAACATTTTGTACGATGCATCCAATGGTATGAATATGGTGTCTTAATACTACGTTCTATGTTGATGGTTAAGATTGGAACTATTTTGTTAATACCGATTCAAAAACGAACCCAATTTAACACAAGGGATTATTTTAAATAGAAAGCAAAGTCGAGGTTTGCATTGCTCTAAAAAACCACAGACTTGCATACTCTCGTGGGTATGCAAACAAGAAACATACTTGAACATGTAAATTGGGTCAAAACTCAAAAAGGCATTGGAAACAAAATGGCGGAATCAAGTGATTTGACTATCGAGATAGAAAAAAACTGCAAAGGAGGTACTCCTTCACATTATTATTATGTCTGTTGGCACAAACCCGCCTGAACAGCTGTAGGAGCTAAATGCAAATCCAAAATATGCTATTTAATTCCCTCCACCTATGCTCAGGATCGTCCCTTTAGTGCACGCCCCATGTCCTTCAATTCGTAATGCTAGTAAAATGATGGAAATTAAAATACATGTCGAGGTCCAAGTTCTATCTTGATCGAGAAAGGATAATTTAGTGGTATCCGCCACCACCAGATCCTGATCCATTGCCTCCACCATTGCCAGTTCCGCCATTCTGGCTCTCACCAGTGCCGCCACCCATGCCACCACCCATTCCCGTGGCATAGCCTTCGCCATAAGAGCCAGTGCTACCGGTCTGAGCGGCGCCAGACCCAGCACCCGATCCAACTCCAACGCTTGGACCTTCAGCGACACTTCCGGTTGCGCCACCACCATTGCCGCTTCCTCCTGCATTTGCAAAGCCTCCAGAAGTGGCGTCGCTACCGGCCTGTCCAGCGCCAGCTCCGGCACCACCTCCATTTCCGTTGTTACCGCCGCCACCCCCGTTACCACTACCACCAGCATCTGAGTAGCTGGTACCATCACCACCGGCAACAGGAGTCGGTGCCTTTGTCACACCACTCTCACCATATCCCTTGCCAAGGCCAGACCCAACCCCAGTTCCGCTAGACCCATTTGCACCCCCACCACTACCCCCGCCCCCGCCATTACCATCAGCATTGGCGTATCCATTGCCGCTAGGGGCTGATGCAGAGCCACTCACACCACTCCCTCTACCAGAACCAGATCCGAAACCAGACCCGGATCCACCCTTTGATCCTCCCCCACCGCCTGCTCCTCCTCCTCCTCCAGACCCCTTGGCGAAATTCCACTTGTTACCCCAATCTCCACCGCTTTCACTATATCCTAAGCCTCCACCCGATCCAGACCCTCCACCCCATCCACTCCCACCATTCGCACCACCTCCCCCACCACCTCCTCCACCACCACCTGAAGCACTGGAGGAGCTAGCTAGCATCCTTGCTGCATCGGCGAACCCAATGCTCACAAAGACAACAAAGCCAAGAGCTGCAAGCCTGGTGCTAGTAGCCATTGTGAGTGAGCTGTGTGGAGTGAGATGGTCGAGTTGGGTGCTGAGTGCAGAGAAGGTTGGGTCAGTATATATAGTGCTGGGGGCCGTGCATGGGTGCGAGATCTTACGGTGAACCGATCGAGTGATTTTGGTTGTGCATTGAATGGGTTATTCGATGAGAAGTTTCCTATGATCAGAGTGACGGTAGTACTGTTGACTGTGTATATGTCGATCTAGTTCCACAGTAGCCGCTAGCAAGACGTGCAGCATGTAATTGTCATGCAAATCTCTCTCCTTACTCACGACAGTAATTTATTGATTGATGCAGATCAACTAGTATGCAAAAGATCCCCATCGCCTGACATAGACAGACTAGTTATATCTGTTCGATGCCCTACACATGTGGAAGTACGCGTAAGCTGATGATCGATGTAGGTACGCAATGCGATCAGTGGACTCGGATCCTTTGACATTGGCATTTCCTGTTAGTCTGCTCGCCGAGTTCATCGTGCACCGTGCATCGCCCGGCGACTTACCTTACCTAGGGTTTACTAACCCATTGTCAACAACTTTGACCGAGTAGCGCACTCTGGCTCTATTCTAGGCGCATGCAAATTAACAACGAGATACGTCGATCGGTGATAATTACAGTGTCCAAGTTGACCTAGTGGCAGGCTAGGATCGATCGAGCTGGCATTCCATTCTCCAGCTGCATGCAAGGCTCCGGATGGGTGGGCAGAAACGAGAAGAATAGCTAGCTAGCTAGCCATGTTCACTCACGGCCGGGATCCCATCTTAATTTAGTTAATGGTTTGATTAGTATCAACAAAACTCGATCGCGTTCCGTAGGTCTGACTTCCTAAATTACTGCACATGCTCTCCAAAAGTCCAAATACACACCTTTGAACCCGTCTCCACGGCGACTAACATACTCCCTCCCTCCGTACAAATATATAGGGACTAATAAGTTTTTTTAGGTTGCCTTTAACCACCGGTTGAAACAAGAATATGATGTATATGCTATATAAGGTATACCATCAAATTCGTATGTGAATTTGTGAAATGAGTTTTTAATGATAGAATTAGATTATTAATTTTATCTACAGTCAAAAGCAATCTTGAAAAACGTATTCGGTCTTATATATTTGGATTTGGGGAGGGGGGGGGTATCAATATTAGGCATGTTGGTGGGTACTTGGCTGTTGGTGTTGATGTTCATACCGTGGGCTATACTATTAAGTCAGTGTATGCTTTCTTTATTTCTTCTCTTGTTTATGGATTATATTTCAAGGGAATAGAGTTACAATCTGAAGTTACAAAATCCGAAATGCAGGGAAGACCTTGATTAAGCGAACATGCAATGCTCCACTCTGTGCACCCAACAAGATGACTAGATTATGAGGTACCCTATTTTGATCACGCGAAACTTTTCTAGGAATAAAATTTTGTGCTTCAGTATGAGCCTTGATCTCAGAGACAAGGTGTTTGTAATTAGAACAGGGTAGTGAATCATTAAAGAGACTCGATAGCGCCTAGTCGAATCTGATTGGAAGGCATCCGGGAGATCAGTCCACTATAGTAGCCACCCCATCCATTATCACACGCATGTTGTTGTTGACTCGAGCACACCGTTGCAGTGGGAAAGGTGTCTATATGCAGCAAAACTAAACGCTTCCATCCAGATTTCTGAGGATCATACTGATATCCCCCAAGTGCAAGGGATCGCAGTCTTCGTTCCTAAGATTACAACCCTCAATTTATATGCTACATGATCGGAGTCAAAGAATGCTTATAAGCTTTAACCGTTGAGTCGCCAATTCAACCACACCTGAAAACAAATATATGCTTGAATAATTTATTAGTAGTAACAGAAATGTAGTGAGACGTTGTGCAACACCATGGGTGGCCTGTCGGGCGGCACGCTAGATGGTGAGCCAGCCTGGGTGTTTTGCAGAGCTTCTAGCCGGGCAGAGAGTCCCATAGATCGGAGTTCTAGGTCGGGTAGGAATTATGTAACCTTAGGTCTCGTCCTCCTTTATAATGTGAGGCTAGGGGGTAGTTTAGGAGAATATGACATCATTGGACACAAGGCATTTACTTCATTAATCAAAGTAAAGCAGAAGTAGGGTATTACCTCGACCAGTGGGGCACTTCTCCTTGTTGAGGTCTGACAGCGGCGGCGTGGATCATTCAGATCCCGGCAAGGATGGCGACGGCCCGTGCACGAGAGATGGAGGTCTTCAATCAGATCTGTCCGCGTCGTTCCCTTCCTGAAGGCATCGCCGAGGAGAAGTTCAAGGCCACTCTTTGCTACCTTCCGGGGAAACCTTAGATCAGTAGATCGGATGACGGGGGCTCTCTGGTGTCGTTTCCCCCTTGGGGGCGTCATTTTTGGAGGTGCACACGGGCTCGAGGGACTAGAGGACGACGTCTTTGGTGGAGCGGTGCTTCATCTTACACATCGATGGTGGTGGATCTCGGTGGCGTGGCGCTATGGAGATTCGGCATCTGATGCGCGGAGATGGATTCGCGCAGGAGGAGGAGGCTGTCTGGCATCATGGTGGCATTGATGGCAGAGAGGCCTGGCAAGGTCGGTGCTTCAGTTCTGCTCTGAGGATGGACCGAGGGATGATGGAGGTGACGGCCCTTGCAGCGTGCGGTGCTCACCGGGAGTGTGCCAAATCGGCGTGGGACCAAATCCAGGTAGTGGCTTGGATGGGACACCCTGCTTTAGATGTTAAGCTTTGATGCGATGTCTGTTTGGTATTAGGCCCTGACATTTGGCACGCCTTCATCAAGGGGATAGGAGTAGCAACGGTGTTACCAAGATGGTGGCTTCAGGCTTATTGATGTATCACTTTGTATGGTCTTTGTGAATAATTAATAATATGGTTGCATGCATCTTCCAGATGCAGATGTCGGGGGTACATCCTCCTTTTTTTAAAAATAAAAAAAATAAACCTCGATCAAGGTCCAAACCTCGGTAAGTTCCCCGTGTGTGATCCCCTCTTGAACTTCCGGTCTCACTTTCCACCCTACCAAGGCTACAGACGGTTTCGGATTTGTCGGTTGGCGTGCTAGGTAGGGGCCGCGCTGGCCGGAGAGCGGACCCAGATTGGATCTAATCATACCCGACGAGTTCATGCCAAGCCAAAGCTTCATCTCCGTCTCCCTCAAATTAGTCGCCAACAGGGCGGATCGGCTCTACAACGACACGCCGCCCTCCCATGTCCAAACTCTCCTATTCAAAAGTCTCGAGTTCACCTTCGACCAGTACGGAGATACCGTATGCCTCCGTGTCCTGCCATCACCATGGACACACGGAGCGGCGCTAGTCCTAGCGAAGTCTGGGACGGCGGGATCTGCAACAACCCACCAGTCCACATGATGTAGGGAGTCCACATAATCTTCCGGGCTGCCGATACATGAAGAGCCCAGAAGCTCATGTGTAGAATAGTCTACGCGACTGCACCCACTCATAAGAAGTACCTAGAGTGGTCTGACTCCACCATCACCTTCGATCGCTCCGATCACCTGGACTATATTCCTCATCCAGGGAAATTTGCCCTGGTACTAGGTGCAATCTTCGGGGATTTATGGATGGGGGGATCGGCTCCCACGGATTTGTCCCAGGAAAGAAATTGCAACCGCTGGGGCACATTTCCCTTGAGGTTCTCTTCCGGGATGAGGATAACTTCCGCTGTGGAATGGGGCAACTTGCCCGAAGTAGGGTATTACAACGCATTGTAGTCAATGCGAAATGGGGCACCATTCCGCAGCGACTACAATGCATTGCATTCATGGCCTTACCATCTTACACTTACCTACAACTAAAAATGCAAAGCCCCCAACAGCACCATCGCAGTATGTGGTAGCGCTGAGAGAGCACTAGAAGCGTAGGTCGCCATCCTGGAGCATGTTGAGGCCGCCCTGGCTTCAGCAGAGCTAGAGGAAATCAAGAGGATGGTTGATCCGGCTGCAACTTCCTTGCCCATGAAACCCAAGCCTGGCCCAGCCATCCAACCTACAAAAGAGACAAAAAAAAGTTCCAAGTACACTTCGAGAACCCCTCCAAAATAGTAATATAGGAGATCATAGGAAGAGATCTGAGCACGGATCAGGAGGCCGCGCTGATGCAATTCTTAGGGATAGCTGGGACATCTTCGTCTGGAGGCCCGCTGACATGCCTGGAGTTCCTGCACACATCGCCGAGAACAGACTGGATGTTCAAAAAGATGTGAGGCCGGTCAAACAGGCCTTCGACGATTCGCCACCGAGAAGCGCCACACAATCAAAGAAGAAATCGCCCGGCTCCTAGCTGCCTACTTCATCGGGGAGATGGCCCACCCTAGTTTTAAGCACCAAGGAATTATGAGCTACCCCTCACAAGAACTGTTGTATTTTTGGCAGGCAAGGTATTTCCCAAATCTTTTTCCACTGCAAAGTATCTTGTGCACGCGCTAATGAACAAGGTGCCTCGGCACAATATTTGCCAGTCTGTCATGACTGTAGAGTTAATACGCTGATTTCACCAAGAACACCCCTTGCTATCATAATGTCATCCATGTTAATCTTCAAACTCCTCTCTAATGGGCATGGCAAGGATGACATGGGCATCTTCTTCCCAGAAGGTTTCCCTTTAGTAAATGACGGCTTTTCTTCAAGAACAGGGACGTGATCATAATGTCATCCATGTTAATTTTCAAACTCCTCTCTAATGGGCATGGCAAGGATCACATAGGCATCTTCTTCCCAGAAGGTTTCCCTTTAGTAAATGACGGCTTTTCTTCAAGAACAGAAACGTGCTTTTATATCTCAGCAGCTGTGAAAAGGCAAGAAAAAGAGTATGTGACATTTCCCGTTGTTTATCTAATGTACATATATAAGGATCGTGTTGCCATCGCAGTTCAGTTTGTTCACGCCCTCTCTGGTACTGGACATAGAAGATCTGTACCTGGAGGTAGTAGTCTGATGTAATGTAGGAAGCGATCTAGTTCTCTTTTTTGTTGATTTCTTCTTGTAAGCAGTTTTATCTGTGAGGTGTGTCTGAACAGAACATGTTCTTGTTCCGGATGTAGTTATTTCCAAAATTAATGGAAAGACATCCTCCTACATTGAAATCAATTATTATTTTTCGAGATGAAGGTAAAAGATTTGCCTCTTTAATTAATTAAGCAGAAGAGAGGTACCCAATTGATCACGGAAAACCTGACGTAAACTGAAACAAGGGCCAAGCCCACACCCGAACATCGACACCCAAAGTGCCAAGCCCACTCTCATCGACGACATGCCAAACGCGACAACAAACCCTAATCTCACAAAAACACACCAATGGGGGACCCCGCTCCGCCAATCAAGCCGGCCTTCCACGGTTCCACCACTGCCAGAAAGAAGATGCCATGACTGCTATGGGAGGAACAGACCGGGACTCACGGGTGGCGTGAAAAGGCAAGCACTTGACAAGTCCTGCTGCAACAGCCGACATGTCGACGACCAATATCGACGACAACCACGTTGCCCACACGATATGAGGTCCATGTCCTCGATGCTGCAAACTCTCGGGGCCGCCGGCCCGACATCCACTACTCTGACACGCCCTGCGCATCCAACTGACACCGCCTTCCGAGGCCGCCGCCCCGACAATTATTGGTGATATATTGTCAATGTCACTGCCGCCGCCCCGCCTTCCGAGGCCGCCGCCACATGGCTTTGTGTCCGTTTCTAAACTAACTCTGTATCATGCTCATATGATCAAGGAACCTCTGTTTGCCACCGTGCAAGATACATTTACTATTGCATTTGGTGGTTTCCTATACCAATCACAAGATGTATCAGGCAAGACTGATTACTTAGATTAATAGGTAAGAACGAATAGCTTGTGCCCTCTAATTCTGACTAGGGGCTGCGATATTCTCTCCACACATGATAATAAATTGGGGCCCTCATTCATCTTGACCTCTTGTTCTTTGCGCTTCGATAGATGACATTCTATTTTCAAGATGTAAAGTCTCATGTATCGACACTGTTCAAACATTATTTACACGTTATAGTTCTTTAGTCTAACATTTTCGAGTACCAATTTGTACGAACTATGACGGTTTAAATACAACTGAGTATATATTATGGAATAACATTTTGTACGGTAGATCCAATGGTATGAATATTGTGTTATAAGTCTTAGTACTACCTTCCATGTTGATGGTTAAGACAGGAACTATTTTGTTGATACAGATTTGAAAACGAACCCATTTAACCCGGAGGGAATATTTCAAATACGAAGCAAGGTCGGAGATTGCATAGCACTCAGAAAGACATTGCAAACAAAACGATGGAATCAAGCAATTTGACTATTGAGATAGAAAAGGCTACAAAGGAGCTACTCCTTCACATCATTATTATGCCTATTGGCACAAACCTGCCTGAATAGGTGGAATTAAATGTTAATCCCAGAAATGCTATTTAGCTCCTTCCACCGGCATTCAGGATCATCCCTTCCTTGCATGCCACATGCCCTCTGATGCGAAGTGCTAGTAAAATGACGGAGATTAAAATACATGTCGAGTTCCCATTCTAGCTTTTTCAATAAAGGGTAATTTAGTGGTATCCGCCACCACCAGATCCGGATCCACTGCCTCCGCCACTTCCAGTTCCGCCATTTTGGCTTTCACCACTGCCACCACCCATGCCACCGCCCATTCCCGTGGCATAGCCTTCGCCATAAGAGCCAGTGCTACCGGTCTGAGCAGCGCCAGACCCAGCACCAGATCCAACTCCAACACTTGGACCGTCAGCGACATCTCCAGTTGCGCCGCCACCATTGCCGCTTCCTCCCCCATTTGCAAAGCCTCCAGAAGTGTCGTCGCTACCAGCCTGTCCAGCGCCAGCGCCGGCACCACCTCCATTTCCGTTGTTACCACCACCACCACCGTTACCACTACCGCCAGCATCAGAGTAGCTGGTACCATCACCACCAGCAACAGGAGCCGGTGCCTTTGACACACCACTCTCACCATACCCCTTGCCAAGGCCAGATCCAGTCCCGGTTCCGCTAGACCCATCTGCACCACCACCTCCGCCACCACCCCCGCCCTTACCGTCAGCACTGGCATAACCATTGCCGCTAGGGGCCAATGCGGAGCCACTTGCACCGCTGCCAGTGCCGAAGCCAAATCCGGAGCCAGACCCGGATCCACCCTTTGATCCTCCACCACCACCAGCTCCTCCTCCTCCACCAAATCCCTTGGCGAAGTTCCACTTGTTACCCCAATCTCCACCGCTCTCACTATATCCTAAGCCTCCACCTGACCCAGAACCTCCACCATATCCACTCCCACCAGACCCACCGCCTCCCCCGCCACCTCCACCTCCCCCTCCACCTGAAGCACTGGAGGAGCTACCGAGCATCCTTGCGGCATCGGTGAACCCAATGCTCACAAGGACAACAAAACCGAGAGCTGCAAGCTTGGTGCTAGTAGCCATTGTGAGTGAGACTCGGCTGAGTGAGGCGAGTTGGGTGCTGATGAGAGCAGAGAGGGTTGGGTGATTATATATAGTGGTGGAGGCCGTGCATGGGTGCGATACCTTAAGGCGATCCGATCAAGCGTTTTTAGTTATGTATTGAGTGGGTTATTCGATGAGAAGTTTCCTATGATCAGAGTGGCAGTAGTACCTTTGACTTTGTCTATATCGATCTAGATCGATTAGCCGCTAGCAAGACAGCATATAGCAATTGTCATGCAACAAATCTCTCTCTCTCTCTCTCTCTCTCTCTCTCTCTCTCTCTCTCTCTCTCTCTCTACTCTACTCTTGTCGGCAATTTATCGATGCAGATCTACTAGTACTAAGTGGCCTAACATGGACAGATTACTTATATCTGTTCGATGCTCTAGACATGTGAAAGGACGTGTAAGTTGATCGTCGGATCCTTTGACATTGGCGTTTCCTCGTAACCGGCTCTACTCGCCGAGTTAAGTTAATCTTCCTGGCAAACGACGAAGAAGTGTGTGTTAACTTGGATTAGCTACTTGCAGCATCGTGCATCTCCGAACCACCGCGGCCCAGCGGTGACCCTACTAGGGTTTAACGCGTCGCCGGTGCCCTCAACTTTGACCGAGTAACGCACCCTAGTTCAACTCAGTGATCTTCGGGATATCTTGTGATAGTTATGGCGACGCAAACAACGAGAGATGCACGTAGATCGGTCAAAATGACAGTGTCCAAGTAGGAGTAGGATCGATCGAGCTCGACAGATTCGATTCTCCAGCTGCGTGCAAGGCCCCAGATCAGTCGACGGTTACGAGAAGAGTTGGTAGCTAGCTTGCCATGCTCACTGACGGCCGGGATCTCATCTTTAATAATTTAATTAATGGTTTGATTAGTATCAACAATATAGTAGCAGTACGTACTATATAGCCGGGCTCCCCTTGATGGCTTCGTTAATTCAAAGCCGGTCTTCCCTTGAGCCTTCGTTAAAAAAAAGGTAGCAGTACGTGCTCTCCCTTTCCAGTTAATCCCGATCGTGTTTCGTAGGTCTGACTTCCGAAATTAATGCACATGCTGCTCTATCTCCAAAAGTCCAAATACACTTACGCCTTTGAACAGGTCTCGACTACGATTAACGTATATCAATTTGGCCTTGGGAGTGTTAGTGTCGGTGTTTGATACCAAATGCATTTGGCCTAGTTTCCAAATGCATTTGGCCTAGTTTCGGAGCACGGTATCTTTAAAGAGTTCTTTTACTGTATATGAATTTTGAGTTTGCTAACCACATGTCCCATGTGGCATAGATCAAGTCAATTTTGGCTGTTTATTTTGGTAATCCTAAAATTTCAATATGCCAGTGCTGCGGAATACTTCAGTTTTTTTATAACAGAATTTCCTAGTTTGGTTTAGGAAAAAGAGGTCATGTCCTCTTTCTAAAAATACTACGAAAATGTTATAGTGTTGGAGTTACTACACTTTATAAAACCGTGGTATTTAATTTCTTTATGCTAAACCATCAAAGTTTGAAGTATGGTGTCTAAAAATACAATGGTATAATTAAACCTCCAAATGCACTTGAGCGACAAATGCAGTCTATGTGTGATTTCTTGATTAGAAAAAATGTAGCTTTGCTTATACACATATATGGAGGTTGAAGCTTCCTTTAAAGCCGAAAGTTTAGAATATTAACCAGGGATAACATGCTGAAGAGGGGATTACATGGGAATGGTTTGTGTGAGTTTTGTCGAAGGTTTAGAATATTAACCAGGGATAACATGCTGAAGAGGGGCTTACATGGGAATGATTTGTGTGAGTTATGTCAAGACCATGAGACTATGGAGTGCATATTCTTTGCTTGTCCTCTAGCTAAATATATTTGTTAGGAATGTTGCTAGTGTGGCTTTTGGTGTCACGGAAACACCATAAAATATGCTAGTTATGTTCCAAAACTGGTTTAGTTCCTTTCCTGCACATGATACAAAGGTTTTTATGATTGATGTGACTGCTATTTTTTTGGGCTATAATAGAAGACATGAAATAAATCCTGCTTTCCACCAAACGCGACCCTTGAGACGTCTGTGTGTATGGCGTTAGTGTGCTCCAATGATGGTTGTGGCATCGTTGGCAAGTGTGGTGTGGCCTTGTGGTGTGGCGATTCGAGTTGGCTTGGCCATGTGTCGAGTGGGGCTTGGCCCTGTTTGTATCGGTTTTCGCCCGGTTTTCCGTAATTAACTGGGCAACCTTCTTCTTAATTAATGAACCGGGCAAAGCTTTTGCCTCGTGTTTCGAAAAAAAAGAAAAAGTAATAAATCTTGCTTTCAAGGAATTTGTCCTCGTGGTCCCACTAATGTGGTTTATTTTGCATGTAATTTCATCCATTCTTGGGTGATGACACACAAAGGGGTGACTCAAAGGCTGCTGCAACAGGGGGCAAAGAAAATGACTAAAGTGGTACAAGAAATCTACGGACGTCGATGTGGTTGTGGTTCTATGACTAGGAGTTTGGGCAATGTAGTTGGCGTCACTGTTGTGTTGTTATGTGGGCATACTTTAGTGTATTAGACATGTCTTGTCCGCTCACGGGTTTTGGGGTTTAGTTTTAGAGCAATTTTGTGGTACCCTAGCACTACAAAAGAGGAGCCGGAGTACCAACTAACTCTAGCCATAGATTTTCTAAGGTAATTTTGACTTTTTGATTTGCTAACAATGGGTAGTTTTGACCTTTTTCTTTCCTTGAAATCAAAAGCACCATTCAGTCCCAGATCCCCTAAATCCCGTTGACAGTGACACCTCTATCCACATCGCAAAAACCACAGCATTCTCCCCATCCTTTTCAACCATTGGTGATGCCATGCCCCGAGGGTGCATCAACGGAGGACAGAAGAGGCCCAACAGACATGGGCAGCCCAAGCCCACTACTCGAAGTCCACATACGATACAGGTACGCATCGCCAACTTGGGAGGGGGGAGACAAGGACTCTTCTACGTATCTAGCTAGGCAATCTCTATTATGGCATGTACAAACCGACAAGGTTTCTCCATGTAGATCAGGACACTTCAACCAGACTTGGGATCTATAAGGCTAGCCACAACCATCTATATAAGGCATGGTAGGCACCCCACCCCCACCCCAATTGGTACCTTACAATCTATTCTCACATTCTCTAGTCTGAGGCAAGCATACAATCAAACCCTTTGTATACACAAACATTAGTTCTCATATGAGGCTGGATTCTTCAGTACAGATAAAAGTGGGGTATTACCTCGATTCAAGGGCCTGAATTTGGCTGAAATCCTCTTGTGTGCACCATCCTCTCTAATGCCTACGGTGAAGGAAATATGCCCTAGAGGCAATAATAAAGTTGTTGTTTTATATTTCCTTATATCATGATAAATGTTTATTATTCATGCTAGAATTGTATTAACCGAAAACTTGATACATGTGTGGATACATAGACAAAACACCATGTCCCTAGTAAGCCTCTACTAGACTAGCTCGTTAATTAAAGATGGTTAAGTTTCCTAACCATAGACATGTGTTGCCATTTGATAAACGGGATCACATCATTAGGAGAATGATGTGATGGACATGTAACGCCCTCGATGCGGCTATATCTCCCACGTGTCGAAGCACGACTTAGAGGCATAACCGCATTGAAAGCAATGTCGCAAGTGAGGTAATCTTCACACAACCCATGTAATACAATAGGGGAAAAAGATACATAGTTGGCTTACAATCGCCACTTCACACAATTACATGAATAAAGCATTACAACATCCAAATACAATCAAGGTCCGACTACGGAACCAAAATAAAAAAAGAACCCCAAATGCGACAAAGGTCCCCGATCGACCCCAACTGGGCTCCACTACTGATCAACTAGAACGAAAACAACACAAAGGACAAGATCTTCATCGAGCTCCTCCTGAGCTTGGTTGCGTCATCTGCACGGTCTCATCGGCACCTGCAAACTGGTTTTGGAAGTATCTGTGAGTCATGGGGACTCAACAATCTCGCACCCTCGCGATCAAGACTATTTAAGCTTATAGGTAGGGTAAAAGGTATGAGGTGGAGCTACAGCAAGCGACTAGCATATATGATGGCTAACATACACAAATGAGAGCGAGAAGAGAAGGCAAAAGCACGGTCGATAAACTATGATCAAGAAGTGATCCTAGAACAACCTACGTCAAGCATAACTCCAACAACCGTGTTCACTTCCCGGACTTCGCCGAAAAGAGACCATCACGGTTACACACGCGGTTGATGCATTTTTAATTAAGGTCGACTTCAGGTTTTCTACAACCGGACGTTAATAAACTCCCATCTGCCCATAACCGCGGGAACGGCTTTCGAAATTTCAAATCCCTGCAGGGGTGTCCTAACTTAGCCCATGACAAGCTCTCACGGTCAACGAAGGAATAGACCTCCTCCCGAGACATTCCGATTAGACTCGGTATCCCGGTTCTACAAGACATCCTCGACAATGGTAAAACAAGTCCAGCAAAGCCGCCCGATGCGCCGACATCCTGATGGGAGTTGCACATATCTCGTTCTCAGGGCAACACCGGATGAGACATCCTATGAGTAAAACCATCCCTCAAGTTTCCCCGAGGTGGCCCCGCAGTCTACTAAGTTCGGACCAACACTTAGACAAGCACTGGCCCGGGGGGGTTAAAAAAAGATGACCCTTGGGCTGGCCTAACCCAAGGGAAAAAGAGGCTAGGAGGCTAATGGTAAAACCAAGGTTGGGCCTTGCTGGAGGAGTTTTATTCAAAGCGAACTGTCAAGGGGTTCCCATTATAACCCAACCGCGTAAGGAACGCAAAATCCGGGAACATAACACCGATATGACCGAAACTAGGGCGGCAAGAGTGGAACAAAACACCAGGCATAAGACCGAGCCTTCCACCCTTTACCAAGTATATAGATGCATTAATTAAATAAGATATATTGTGATATTCCAACAAGTAAACATGTTCCAACAAGGAACAAT